TGTTGGTTTGGCTCGGACATATCCCAGGAGCCAGGTTACCAATGTACCTTTAAAAAAAAAAAGTAACTGGCACCTAATCTTTAAATCTTTTTGTTGACTTTTAAAAACTGTCCGCCGCCTCCAAGATTGGACTAGAATGCTCCACAGTTATAAATGCACACCACTTCTATAGAGACATTGTGCAGATACAAAAACATATTTAATAAAAGGACACTGAGCTTGGCGAGATTTTAATGGTGTTAAAGCGATTGCAATCTTTCTGCTTTTAGGTGAATTATGTGCCTGTTGGGAGGAGGGTGGAGGGGGGTGCAGTGAGGACTGGCTTATCATATAACACCTACATAAACTTTAAACCGAGGGTAGCCGCCAATTTTTTTTTTTTCAGCCAATGAATGTCTATATAAATTATTACGCACACACAACTCTTACTGTTTTAAAAGTACAGTCTTCCCTTCCTGCCCACACTGCTCACAGACAGAGCAGCCTCTAAGCCAGGCGTTGAGTGCTGAGTCTCATAGGACAGAGCACAAAACTGGCGCGTGCCCAAACAGAAGCGCAGCCATGATGTTGTGGCTTCGAATGAGAGCTCGTTACAAACTCAACTCCTACAGAGCTTAAAGGGAACCTATGGGCTACTTTCATTGCGTGCACATTTTTTTTAGTCGATATTGTAATGTTTTCATAAAAGTATTTTTACTTTGTGAGCGTTTAAAATGTTATATGAGCTGTGAGAATGTTTTCCATAATTAGATTCATATATATCTTGTCTCAAGTGGCCATCAGTCGGCTTCCACAGGAACAAACATTGAGATAAAATCAATTGCAGGGCTGTTTCTGAGATCCAGTCATCAAGGGCTATAAACGTATAATTAATATCAGGCTTTCGGGCACTGTGTTAGGCAAAAAAGATGCACAAATACCAATACTACACTTCTCTGGAAAGATCTGCAAAATACGAGTGAATAGTGATACCATGGAGGTTTGAGCAGCACAGCACTACAGGACATTGTACAGCGTTCAATATGGGGCCACACAAAGGCCAACCATTAACATTAGAGTGTGGTCGGATATGTAGGTATGATCTGATTCTTCTTAGGACAGCAGATCTCACAAACAATGTAGAGCTCTGAATAAACTTGTAAGGTCAGCTGTCCTCAATGTAGGGAAACAACTAATATTTATAATTAATAAGGAAATTTTATATTTTTAAGTGTAAACTTTTTCACATTTAGGAACTTCTCATATTGCGGGGACACACACACACACATTGTGGGAGCTCCTCAGGGACACAGAAGTGCTGTCATCATAAAATAAGTCACCGGCAATCCAAGCTCATCTGTGAAACATCTTTATGGGACATGGTATCACACATGGACTGTGGAAGGTGGTAATTTGTGACTTTGTGACAACATGCAAGCAATTTAAAAAAAAAATTGGCACTGCAGAAAAAGTCTGAAGCCAAACTTTTTTTTTCAATTGGTGAACGCCATCAGGTGACCATTGCCAAGAGGAGTGAAAGTGTTACGGTGACAAACATCTACGCGGGTATTTCCCTCACTTTGAAGAGATTTCCTCTCCTTTCCTGTTGTGTATATGGGATAGGAAGGGAGGGGAAATTTCCCGAAAAAAGGACACAAAAATATGGGGTTTTAAATAACCCGTGGCAGCCAACAAAATTGAATTGCTCTGCTCGTCCTAAAAGTTACCCCTAGACAAATGTTGCAACCTTTTCACAATCTGGCCTATTTGGGCTGGTTTAGGAAATCATCACCTGTCCATAGCTACAGTCAAGCCTGAAAGAAGTCTCTCCGACTGATCGATAGGGAAGAGTCGGTCAGATTTTCCTAGAAGTGGAATAGCTATTGAACAAATCCCAATAAGTAAAATGTTAGCCATAAATATCTGTGCCCAAACGCAAGTTTGCCAACTTTCCTGATTTATCAAGTTACCCCTGCAGATGTGCCCTAGAAATTTTCCAACCTGACCAATTGTACCATCTATTAATATTGTTTGAATTTTAAACAAGCGCCACCATCTAAATTTGCTTTGTGAAACATTTCATTTTTCAAGTCTAAGTATCTGAAAGGACATCTTTAAGAGAAGATCGGGCTACTGGAATGCTAAATATACTAGATATTGATGAATAAATCTAGCACTTAGGAGTCAATACGATCCATCTATGAACCAGCGGCCATTCTGTTTCGATAGAGACGTTCATACCAGCGGTCGATTTTAAGGCTG